CGAGCTATACAGTGGAAGGACACCACATTCCCTGCTTGCTAATTGCTAATTTGAAACTCTGAATACACATAATTCATGATAGACGGTAAAGTCTCTTAATGCCACAATCCAGATAAACAAACAAACAGAACTTTTGTAGATTGGTCAGGGGAATTAACCACAGTGAAAACAATTCCTTCTGTGGGACCCTGCATTCTACCTTTCCATCACTTGCACACAAACTTTCGGAACATGCCGAATTTTCACACCAGAGCCTGCTAGTACTGTGTCGTGAACATCATTTTAGGTATTTTAAGGTCCTGTCAGCAGGAAAGATGCTTTTTAAGAGGGAGGCTTGCAAATAAAGATTTTCTTGTTTTAGCAGAGAAGAAACAAAATACGTGGAAGGGAAATTTGGTTCGGTTTTTGTCTCTTTAGGCGAGGCAGTCTGATGTTGACAAAGTAAAGGAGAGTTTCACTGACACCCTGGGGAGGAGAAAACCCTCCCCTTGCCTCTAAGGGGAGGAATGCACCTAAACTTGCCTCAAACAACCCTACAGGAATAAATGAGGGAAAGCACACTCTACACAGGATCTAACAGTAGCTGTGCAATAGCAACTTTCTAAATGACAGCGCTTTGTGAGCACAAATTTCACGAAGCATAAAAAAAGAAAGAAGTTTGAAGTTATTAGGACAGAACAAGGCAGGTATGAAGAAATGGTTTTGTCAGATATTTTTGGTTTTACAGAATTAAGATGAATTTTAAAACGCCATGGTAGCTTTTAGAAACCATAAAAACCAACATGCCATTTTATACTGATTTTTCTCAGAAAGTGGCCTGTAAACCATTCATTTGGAACCACACAGCTATCTAATTCTCCTTGGGAAGTATATAATCATATTGAAAGTTGTCAAGCCATATATACTATTACAATTTTAGATTAGTGTCTTTTCAAATGCAGGGCATTCCAGGTGTACTGGAGTCATTACATGTTCACATGAATGTACTTTCTTTACCTTGTTCTACGTATGTTTTACATTTAGAACATCTTTCCAAAAAATGATGGAATACTTTAGGAAAAATTCACTATTACTTTCTGATAGTACATCTTTCCTGAGAACAGAGGTTTTTAAAAACCCTATTCAGGGAGACACTTAAGATTCAATTAAAGTTTTATATTAGTTTAAAAAGAAGCCTTCAAAGAATCTGTCATGTATTTTTGACTTGAACAGCTATTGCCAAATAGCTATACATGAATTTTTTTTTAGTAAATCAAATAACTTTAATGTACTAGAGATACATGATATTATACGCAAAAATAGTTTATAAAGTGAATAAACCACTAATATAACCATGCTCTGTCATCTACTTAAAACTTGTTTATTTATACTGCATTTTCAAAGTATGTGGTGAGTTTACCTACACTCATGAACATGCTATTTTTATGTGTTGCACTATGAGCATATAAAATTAACCTGGGATAACAAAGAGATAGGGAAAAGAAGAGTTGAAGAAGGAGAAGGGGGAGGAGAAGGAGGTGTAGCAGGAGGAAGAACTAAGGTTCTGGGCTTGGTGGGGTTATATAGTCTTTAAAACCAGACCTAAAGAGTTTGAAACAGACTCTAAAATATAAGGAAGCCATCATTCCCTATACTCTCATTTTGTAACAGATATGTACCTACAAACTGCTGAAATTATTTTTAATTAAAAAGTTGAAGGAACACTTTTGTTCTTTTTGAAACAGAATAAATTGAGGGAAAAAATTTCACCACATTGACATAAGGGAGGCAGACTTTACTATGTAACTGACAAAAAAGAGAAGCAGTTGGAATCATTCGGAATGCTGTTAAAGGTACAGATTTGGAAGCAAGTGAATAATGAGGTCTTTGAGCAGCTTCACTTGAAGAAGAGAAAGAAGGAAGGGGGGCACTGGGGCAGGGCTCCGAGATACAGTTTAATAGGATAACAAGGAAAATTTGTGGCAGAGTGGCCACGGTGGGAACTCAGAAGGGTCTGGAAGCTCTAGTTTTAGAACACTTCAGCCTGCATGAGAGAAGATGAAATCCAGAATTCAGAGACTGGGTTGCAGCAATGTCATAAATAGGCTATGCTGTGGGAGTGGTGACTAGCAGATTTATAGAGAACGCAGAAAGGGAAGAGTTCAGTCAAGGTTACGAGCAATGGAGGCAATTGGGAGAGGGAAATGGAACAGAGTGTGGTACATGAAGATGTTCCATTTGAGGATAAGAAATGTTTCTGAGTCTGGGATGGCATTGTGTGAAAGTAGAGAGAAGTCGAGTGTCTAAAAACTGCTGATGGCTTTTCCTCGGATAGCACTGTCTTCTCACTGAAACACAACACATGGTCATGATCATCAATTAATATAGTGCCCTGATACAGCACCCTGCATTCACTGGGTGCTCAGTAGATATATACAGAGCGTAACTAATTCATAGCTGTGAAACATGCTCTCGATTCACAACTCTTCACTGGGTGCTTTATTTAGACACCTTCTTAATGCTTTCTTATAATACAGTTACTGAGGGAATACAGATCTATATATAGATATATATGTGCTTAAGAAAAACATGTTTTTGCATTTCTTATCTCCACCAATAAATTGCAAGCTTTGTGTGATGGTTAAGAAAAACATCTCTATTGAGTCAGTAGCTCAGGGCTCAAGTCCTGCTCTGCCACTTCTTAATTATATGACCTGGAACAAGTCCCCTAACCTTAGTTTTGTCTTCTGTAAAATGTGAGTTATAGCATTGAGTCTGCTTACCTCTTAGCATTGTGAGAAGCAATGGAGATAATGGATGTAAAGGTATTTTATAAATTGCAAGGAGTTACTCAAGGGTAAGATGGTATTATTATCATCTTTAACATACTTGTATACCCTAAAGTTACTCAATAAATATGTGCTGATTCAAAGCATAATCTAGACATAGGAGAGCACAAACACACGGAGCAACTACCAAAGCTGAATGCCTGATGCAACTAGATACTAAGAGTGTGAAGATACTGACAGATCAGTAGAACTTACGATTCCCTGGAAACCAAAGTGCTACAAGAGAAGCCACTCTAGATATTAGAAGCTTTAGCCAACAGGGGTCCCAGCAGGGTAAAAAGTAGAATACGGGAGGCCCCATTCCAGTCCATGTCATTGAGGAAGTGAAGGCGGCCAGATTAAGGATACCTCCTTTATTGCTACTTTTTGGTTCCCAGTAGAATAGCGGAATGCACTAACCAGCATCTCCCTGCCTTAATTATTGTTACTAAATGCCCCCATTTGTATTAAAACTTCCAACCATTCTAGTCAACTCTGGCCTCTCTTTCCTTAGTGACTTCTTGAACATGACACTTCAGTATGCTTTCTGTACGATTCAGTATTTGATCAAAGAATTTAGCAACTTCAGGTGAAGCACTGTCTATCAACAGAGGTATACAAATTGTAATTGTGAGGACTCAGTCGTTCATATTTTGTAACCACTGTGATACGTAACATCAATGCTAGGAAACTAGTACTTACTCAAATTTCTACAAACAGAACCATGCTGTCCCCCTGACCATGAATATCTACCAACACAAATCTAATAAACCTAACCAAAATGAAGCCTTCAAATACCCATTCTCAGTATTCACATATGTAATCGGCAGAAGCAGATCTACCAGGAAGCATAATGAAGCTGAAGTTTCAGGGATCCTCACTAAACACTGGCCCCTTCCAGCGCCTGTCCCTAGTTCTGTATTTTTAATTTGGTCCTGTGGTTCTTAAAACAGAGTCTCCAAGTTGTGTAAGCTTCAAGCCCCACAAAACAGGAACATGCCCCTGATAATATATAGCGAGCTGCAGATTACACATCATTCTGTTCAGAAACACTCTTCAGTGTCACCTTCACATACAAAAGGACAAAGTCTGTAAAAGAGGTAAATTTCCAAAGCACCACATAACCATTATCAGGGTCACATTTCATATCACCACCATTTATAACATTGTGAATCTGTCTACTGCCTTCTACTCCTAGCTCCTTGCATGTGGTGGTACCATTCCTGATGTTTCCATTTCTCAAAGAAAGTTTAGGGTTGTAGCTCCAAACCAAAGGCTACTCTGAAAGAAAAAAAAATAAATTAAATGGAAGAAAAAAGAAAGCCCCATAACGTACTTGTCAGAAACAAAGCAATTATAAACATCGTATGATTAAAAAGAAAAGAAGGAGTCATTTAAATAATGAACTCTAACTTGACTATTTGGCAATTCACTATTTAGCAATTTGCTATTTTTACTACATTTTAAATCAATCCATCTAACACAGGAATTCTCTCAACCCTGTATAGTACTATTTCATTGCTGTAAACCTATATTTCACGGCAAGACAATATCTTTCTATAATAAAATGGTAATAAAAAGAGTACCAATTATCCCAGTATTTTCTCAAAATAGGTAGACTTTCTTTCATGCCTTAATTTTATGTTTTCCTTTGCCCCATACTAAAAGCTCGGCATAATTATCCCTGAACAGGTTGAGCAAGGTCTCTGCAAAATCTGCTCAGGGTGATTATTTAGCTTTTTTTTTTTGTATTTGCAGAATTTAGCTGAGACTGTTACAAGCGGTTTATCAAAATAAATGCTTGATTGGCTTTAGCAGTTTTTCGTAATTGAAAAAATAAAGAAAAAAGAGTTTTCTAATAAATGGAGGGAGAGAGAGGTTAAATACTTTAATTACTAACTTGCAAAAAGATTTCCATTTGAATATGGAAACAATGTAAAGGGGTCCCTAATTTTTATGGGACTGGAATCACTCCAGAGGATTTAATGATACTGCCGGGCAACTGAAACTGTGCAACTGAATAATGTAATTTCTAAGCATACTTCCTTAAAATTTAATAGTGCTAGCAAATATTTAAAATGGGTTACTTTAAAAGGAAGGTTGAATATGCAAATTTGTAAGGGGAGGAACTAAGAAAACAATGATGTTTAAAAATGATACATTTTTTACTTTCTATCTTAAAATAAAAACCAGATACTTTTGAGTCAACAGGCATGTGAAGGAGACAGCTATAGAAGAATTTGCCGATCAAGGACTGCTAGATGTTAACTGAAGAGGTAAATATGTCAGGTAAATATGTCTTCCCTTTTAAAGCATCCTTGACATTTCTGATCTTTGAACTCTGATTTTCACTATTTGTGGGGCTCCTTAGTGAGGCCTTAAGAAGTAAAGGTCTTCCTGAGCTCAAATGACCCTCATTGCTTCCTAACTCTACTCATGCATGGGCACTATATTATGGGAGAGCCATGCTAACTTGATTTCAAGGATTCAGCCACTCCATACATACATTGTACCCCCAAAATGGAGATTTCATACACAAAAGCATTTCCATCCTTCTAAATATCAGTTAATTCCACCTAATCAGATCTATTATCAGCACTAATCCTAACACATAGATTACCAGCTCTACAAAGCAGCCATTACTAATTAGCCCTCATTCCTAAAACTGCTAGCCCAGAAAAGCCTACCCACATTACTGTATTTAAAGAGAGTCTATTCTGAATTGCTGTTTTGTTTGGAAAGGGAGGGGGGGAAATCTGTGTTCCTTTCCAGCTGGCAGAGTTTTCCTAAATTAGATTAACTTTTAATTTAAATTAAAAATTTTAAAAGCTTTACACAAAGAGACAGTAATTGCCCATTTGAAACATCCAAAAAAAGGTGATTGAAGGGTACAGTAATATGCTTACATGAATAATAAATAATACTTAGCATTTAGATAGAGCTTTCCCCTCATCAAATCACTTCTTTACAAGCATTAACTAATTCACACATTATCCTAGCAAGAAAAGTAAAATTCAATGGTAAAATGTTTCTCTATTTTAAAGTTGGGTAAACTGAGGCACAAAGAGGCAACTCTGTATTGCAATTCAGATGCAGAACACAGACTGTAATAGTCAGCTATATCCTTGTGGGACCTGCATGTCCCATTAAGCTAAATCTGAAATGAATTTCTGCCATAGTCACTGTGTGGGTTTTGATGTGACATAGGCTGATTTTGATTCGCATCTATGCCAATGACAAGGGATACCTAGCATCTTTTTGCCTTAGTATCTTAATCTATAAAATGGGAACAATTATTCACAAACACACACACACAGTGCCTCGTGAATGCTCAAAAAATAGCAGTTATTATTCACCCTTAGAAGGAGTTCACAAGACCACTACTAACAGTAAGCTAATGTAATACTCTGACAGCAAATGGAGTCATAACCCCAACTAGAAGTTCAAATAGTATTAAATATTCCAAAGCTCCTGGAAAAATATCAATGGCACAACTTCTAAGGCAATGCTGAATAGTTCACATTATATTGCAATTAATGTACCTCTTAGGGAGTACACCAAATTTCCACCCATTTTCGCATTAAAAAAAATCCTCCTAGAATCAAAATATTGATTTTACTTTTATCATTCATTGATGAAGAAAATGATTAAGAATTACGCTGAATTCTGCGACACTTTTGTGACACTTCTAAATGGCTGTATGTTTTTATTCGAATCACAAGAGATTCCACATATATCAAAAATCTATGGTACACATTTGCGACAAACGTATGTTTGATGCACATGTGAATTTGAGAACCCTTTGCAATAAGTCCAATATTCCTCAGAGGTCTGTAGCCCACAGCGTGGGAACCACTCTCCTAGAGGCTAAGAAATAACATACGATTCAACACTCTTCGCTGCACAGCTGATATCCACCAGAAAAATTGAGTGGCACAATCAGTTTCCACGTTCGTAAAAATTTTCAAATGGAACTTCGTAGAATGAAGCTTAGTTCCTCAAAGTGTTTTAGGGCTGGAAGAGAATTTAGAATCTTCTGGTACAAGTCATCCACTTTAAGATGAAAAACACTGAGACCCAGAGAGCTTGTGTTTTTACCTTCCTTACCTTCCTAACTACCAGATAATGGCAGAACTCAAGTCTTAAAATTTTAGTTACAGGTTGATGTATAAAAAATATATAAGCTAACAATATAGGACACTCCTAAAAAGCATCTAAAGAAAAGAGTATTATGTGAACTCCTTTTGGTGGGCTTTTTGTCCTTTATTTTCCCCAATCCTAACATATGTGGTGTAAGATTGCTCCCCACACCTGTCAAGCAGCATTCAAAGTCTTTTATTGTAATAGTTTTCTTTTTCTACCCTTTATCTCTTGAATCTTTTTTCTATTAACATGGTGATAAAATAGGGGCACTATATACACATTAGGTTTTTAACATAACTGGTTTAACATAAAAAACCAGGGAAGATATGCCAACCACTACAGAAAAACTAAAAACTTAAAACCTATTTTAATCACACTTAAAAATGTGTGCATTTTTCAGCTGCTGCAATTGCTTTTTTTCCTTTTTTCTTCTCCCTTTTTTTTTTTTTTTTTTTTTTTTTTTGCTACTGGCAGGATGAACCAGGTACAGAATTTTCAATATATTTTCATTTCACTCCATCTAGAGAATTTACATGGTTGCAAGAAAACCTTGTTGAAACCTTATTTTGGTCTTCGTGAACATAATCTCAACATCTCAGACAGCCTGAAGCAGCCTGAATTACATTTTCAGCTTTCTCTGGGGCTCTGTGAGGCTCTATTAGTATTGCATATTATACATAAGTTACTTTAAGTGCTCTTCTAAAGCTTGTTAAATGCTACACAAACTTTACACTTCATAGCTTTAATGTTTAACGTCTCTATCAGTAAATTTGAACCCACAATTCATCTAGTTTTTTCCATGTTAGTGATTTCTACCCATTATTATTTCTAAGTAAGTTCATTTTTAAAGAACTATATTTTGATAAATAGCAGTTACCAATTATATACATGAAAATAAACTTCTTGAACCTTTGTCCCAGACATTCAACAAGGTAAAAACCATGGATGTAAAAGTGAGTGTCTTAATAATTTTATTTAAACTGCAACACTATTAATAAGCACTCACAATTGTATATGAAATGTGTCTGTTCTAGTGAGTGAAAATTTTAATGTTACACACTAAAACAAACCTAAACATGATGATTCAAATGGGTGCCTTTATATATCTGCATTTATTTCAGATTTAAACTATGCTAATATTTCTTTTTTAACATGAGCCTAAAGTATAGTGTTTAAAATACAAACTTCATATTCTCTGCATATCATCCAAACATATTGCATTTAGACTGCACAAGCTTTTGATTTGATGGAATTCTGTCCTGAGCTACATGCAACCTAAGAGTCAATCTCTGAGGAAGAATAACCCTGAAATATCAGTTATTTTGTATCACAGAGGAAATCTTTATTGGCGGAAATTCTGACAAAATTTGATTTTCAAACACAGGGTTTTTCTGAGTTTTACTTTTCTAGAGTAATAACCTCATTTAAAACAAACAAAAAGAAAATTATAGCAAATACATCCAAAGGTATAAACAAACTGATGAAAACCATATTCCTGAATGCCACAGCTATGGCAGCATCAGTTCCATCTGGAAGGAGAAAAACCTAAGGTTTCTTTCCTATCTTCATTATCCAACATCAATAAAACTGAACAATTATTATGCAAGTATTCTTAACTTCTATTTAGGAATAAAATTTCAATCATCTTTTATATCAAAACATTCAGGATATTTTGAAAACAACTAAGCTTACCATGTTTGTCTGTCAAAAGTACTCTCTTCAACATTTTAATCCTTTATTTTCTAGTAGGGAAACTGCCTAATATACCATTTCAACAGAGTGTAGAGACAAAACAAAAACAAAGGAGAAAAGACAGAATTTGGAATTTAAGTGTTTTTAGTAGAGTAAAATAATCTTGGTGAAATTGGCCAAAACTGAGTGTATATTTCACAATCTTTGAGAAATAACAGCAGTGTTTTATCATCATTGTAAATTTCATAAAAATGAGATTTCCAAGAATACTGGCCCTTTATTTTACTTTAATTTTCAAGTAACTTAAGAGTGACCTATTTACAGCAATAGCTTTCTTAAGGAGATAAAAAAAAAAAAAAAGAAACTCTTTGTAAAATTAGATGATCAGTGGACATTCTTTGTCTTTTCTTGTAAATGTTATAATAAAAGTATATATAATTAGGAAAAAAATATACATTTAATAGAGATACATCTAGTATTGATGTAACCACAAATTTCTAAATACTTCTAAATATACTATTTTAGTCATTTGTTTAAAAAATTTATATTTAAGCTTCTTTTAATAATTATTTTTTTAAAAAGCCACATTGTGATGTCAAATCCTATGTATCTTTATATGACAACAGCACACATAACTTGCCATTTGAAAAGAGGTTTCTGTGAAGAGATGAATCAGTCATTGGGAATTCTCAAAAAGAAAATTAATTTGATGTCATCAGGATAATTGAACCTTGACCACTTCACACATTGTTATTTTGATAGAATAGTTAGAAAATTAGAGGGAAAAAAAAACACCAAAGAAAACATAACTTGTTATATAGACACCCGCATACTATACACCGTGTTCGATATTCCTACTACCAAGAAGAATGATGTCTGTGACAGCTGACCCTAACCAGTGCCTTCATTAACTAGTATTAAATGGTAATTAAGACCGTTCCAATTAAGTTTTAATTTTAAAAAAATTAAGTACAAACTCAGTCATTCAATAAAGCGTTGTAGTCCTTTGGTGTGTTTCTAGGCGCAGAATATAGCAATTTACTATTGACAAGCACTAACGGAGGAGGTCATTTCACAAGTATAGTGTGGACAAAGGTGAACCGGGCAACTGATGAAATCTGTGGCCAAGGCGAAATAGCAATCTCGGAGCCAAATGGTAATAAAGTTACTGAAATGAAGCAATGTAGTTTCTAAACTGAACTGTCATAAAGGAGGATATGGGCTTCAAACTGGCACGTCAGTAGTAATTAAAATATTATTTCTCTCTTTTAAAAAGTTCCAAACGGTTCTAATGGTCTTATCGATTTTTTATTCAAACAGCTAAAAGTGAGGTTAGGAGGCAGGGGAAGGAGCTGCCAGCGCAGAGATTTGGAGAGAGGTAGGGCAAAATCTCTAAGGGCAGAAAAAGGAAAACAAAGTAGGCATATTATTATAACACCTTGGAGTCTAGAGTG